AGTGTAGATGCAGGTCACTTTCTATTTCCATATTGTCTTTATTGTTTTGTTTCAAAATAACAGGTTTTACATACTATAGCATCTGTATACACACACACACATATTCATGATGCTAAAACCAACCCCCCTGTAAATCTGTAAGTTACTTGAAGACTAATTTGATCATCTTTTGAAAAAAGGAGTTCCTCATTCCCATTACTCATCATTTCTATTCCTAGGAGAATCCTGAGTGTACAGAAGAAAGCATAAAAGGATATTTAATACTATTTGTAATAGTAAAATTTAAGACAGTTTAAATGTTCATTTGCAGGTAAATTAATAAGTATACTATATATAATGTGTGTAATATAAATGCAGTTCTGTATAACAGTTAATATGAATTAGATTTAGTTATGAATTTCAAAACCATCATTGGAACAAGGATGGGACTAAGGGTCCTACCTAGCAAGCATGAGGCCCTAAGTTCAAACCTTACTACCACCAAAATAAAAACAAACCCCTAGTATTGAGTGAAAAAAATAAATTGCAGATCAACAAAGTATGATGCTACTGAGAAAAAATATAAGAACCGGAAGTGGCGCTGTAGCTCAAGTGGTAGAGCGCTTGTCTTGAGCTGAAGAGCTGAGGGACAGCGCTCTGGCCCAGAGTTCAAACCCCACGACCGACAAAAAAAAAACTATATATATATACATATATATGTATATACATATATATATATATATGAACAGAATAGAATACTCGGGTTACATATGCATATGTAGCAAAAACTACAAGAGATGCATGTTTGGAAATGATACATCCAGTATTGTGATAGTGGTTACCTCTAGGGAATGGGAAGTTAGGGGAAATGATTAGGCATTTGAAGACTTTATCTATATCTGAAATATTTTATTCCTTCAACAACAGCAAAAGGTTTGAATCAGATAAAGCAAAATGGTAACATCTGTGTAAGATGGTGAGCACTTGAGTAGCCAAATTATTTTCTGTACTTTTCTCATATTTAAATTTTTTTGTCTATTGTGGGGTTTGAACTCTGGACCTGGGCACTGCCCCTGAGCTCTTCAGTTCAAGGCAAGCACTCTACCACTTGAGCCACAGTGCCACTTTTGGTTTTCTGGTGGTTAATTGAAGATAAGAGTCGCACAGACTTTCCTGACCAGGCTGGCTTTGAACCATGATCTCAGCTTCCTGAGTTGCTAAGATTACAGGCATGAGCCACTAGAGTCCAGCTCATATTTAAAATGTTTTACAGCTCAAAAATTAAATGCCTATTTGTTTTAAAAATTTAGGACAAAATTCATCTCAACCTGTACCCTCACTATTATTAAATTTAATTTTTAATAGCTCTATTATAGTCCATCCTCAGTTACAGGATACTGTTTATGGATTGTTGGGTTGAATTAGTTTTTAGAAACTAAACAAACCAAATTCAGAGTGGCTGCTATGATAGCTGAAACAGAGGAAGAATTTAGCATGATCCCCTGAAATAAAACATGAAAAATGTAAGCATGCCCATAAGAAGTCTAAGTAAACACTATAAGAAGCTGTGGCCTAAAATGTGAGTTCACATCAGTCAAGAACTCATAGTGGAGTTGGGCCCAAATCCTGAGAGCTGTAATTTATTCTCCTCTGTCAGTAATCTAAGCTGTCATCACACTTCTGGATCACTCAGTCATATAGTGTGTAATGTCCATCTCTACTGACAACTGAAAATAAGTTGCATGAAGCTCTTCTTTTCTGTTCACCACAGTCAAAATTTATAAAGCATATTTATACATACTGATGCTGACATCTTGCTAACTAGGAAAGTCAGTGGGGAAGTCAGTGAACACGACATAGTGCTGAGAAGCATCACCTTCCCTAGTAACAAAGGTACACACACACAAAGGAAGTAGGTCAGGAAAAACTGAAAACCTGTTTCATCTGAAAGATGCAAATACTTTTCAGAGGTATCACCTGTCATATTACTCTAGTAGTCCTGAACAAACATTAGAAGGTATCAATCTGAAAAGGCTTTGGTTCAGTCATTGTCTTTTGAATCTGCCTATATAATACAGGGGATATAAAAAAGAAAAAGAGAGGGGGGAGGAGGAAAGAAAAAGGAAGGAAGGAAGGAAGGAAGGAAGGAAGGAAGGAAGGAAGGAAGGAAGGAAGGAAGGAAGGAAGGAAGGAAGGAAGGAAGGAAGGAAGGAAGGAAAAGGAAAGAAGGAAAGAAAAGAAAGGAAAGAATGACCCTAAATTTTTTTTGTTTTTCTTTTTGGTTGGTTGTGGGGCTTGAACTCTGGGCCTGGGCACTATCCCTCAGCTCTTCAGCTCAAGGCGAGTGCTCTACCACTTGAGCCACAGCAGCACTTGTGGTTTTCTGAGTGGTTTACTGGAGATAAGAGTCTCAAGGAGTTTCCTACCTAGGCTGTCTTTGAACCGCTATCCTTAGATCTCAGCTTCCTGAGTACTAGGATTACAGGCATGAACCACCAACACCCGGCTGCCCTAGAAGTTCTGGTTGTAGGTGACAGTGACCTAAAGACAGTATCATCAGCTGAGGCAGAAAATGTCAGGGGTTAAGTAGAGCTGGGGAAGAAGATCAGCAGAGAAGAGAGACAATAGGTTTATTTCTGATGTGCTGAGTTGAGTTGTCACGTAGTTGATGTGCCTCTTCATCTCTAAACCTTAACACATGATCCAGTTTTGAGTTATGGAGGTTTAAAAGCAATTGTTGAAACACATGGAAAAGTCTTTATTCAGAATTTGCTTCCTTCCCTACATACTGCTGAAAACTTTAGAGATTTATTTTAAATTGGTTCATATAAAATCAAATGAAGAAATGTAATACTGATCAGAGAATTTAAAAGGTCATAAGACTCAATGAAGGTGGGAAGAAATACCTAATAAAAATTGGACTAGAAAAAAAATGGATAAGAGTGTGCTTACTTCTTCTATGACAATTTTGGTGCTTTTAGTTTTGCTCTATTTTTTGGTATGATTCAAGTAAGCACTAAAATCGTATGCTTTAAAGTGTTACATAACATCTTATTTGTTGGCTCAAACTAGGTTCCATGTGGAACCATCTTATATAGTTAATGCATTAATAAAAATAAGCACTTAAATTTGATTCCTCTGCTGTTTTAAAATTCACTTTGTTTTTCATTAGCTTCTGTAATAAACAATTTCAAATTCCTGGCTTTACAAGGTAGAAAGAAGTATGTATCTTCTTTTCATGGCTATTTTCCTTTAATTCTTTTGTGCAGAAGCATGAATGTTTTATAAGATGTCATCATTATAATAATTCTAAATTTGTCAAATATCAAGTTATATAAAAGATTTAATTATGCACTGTGCTATACTTGGACCAGAATTAGAAAACATATGTAGGTGCAATATTTTCACAACCACAGTCTATTTTAAGGGAAAATATTCTTTAAAATATTTTCTTTACCATAGTCTTCAGCAAGCAAAGAAGGCCTTTTCTGAAGTGAGATTAGACAATAGAGCCAACTTCATTTTTTATGCACGTGAACGGAGAGGGCTTGAGGTTATTAGTTGAAACCGAGTAACCTTTCCAGGCTTTCATCTCTTTCTTTTCAAATTTGAATATGAAAAGCATATTCAAGTCAAAGACCATCACTTTAATGACATTTGGCAGTCATTTGATTTATTAGGTTTTAGAAAAAATTTTCCTTTAAATATTTCATCATACTATGCTAATCCTAGGAATATTGCCAGCTGCAGCCCTGTACCTGTATTAGTGGAGACAGATCGGTGTGGAATTTTCTCTGTCATCCTAGTAAAATTTCCATGAATCTACTGAATAATAAAATAACCTTATTGAAATATTCAGATTTGAGTTTTTAGTTAAAGTATCTTAGAATACATAATAAAAGAAAATGTCTTTTGAAAGAAGGGGGTAAAATTACTTCATCAAATATTGAGGGGGTTTGACAGCAATGGAAATTGTTCTTTATGTGGATATTTTTACAATATACTTATGCTTTTCTAAAATATCTACATAATCACTGTGGTTAATTTGCACATAGATATACATTCAACAGTCAATTCCTATAAACAAGAGTTACTTCTGGGTTTTTCAAAATATCACTTGAATGTATATAATTTATAGTGGTATGTCTGTCTCTAGTAAGTAAGAATTCTGACAGTAAAGAACACATGAGTAACCCCTCTGTATATCACCTTGATGATAAAATTAAAAGAAAAAAGAACAAATGTAAAACTTTTTAAAATCAAATTTAACTGAGAAGTTATCTTGGTATGATCTCATTTTTAAATCAGTGTCTAATTATTGGAAGTCATTATTCAAGCAAACGTTTATGCCTCTCATGTTCATGTCTGTGATTCCAAAACCTATTAAGCAAGAATCAAAGTTAATTATTTTGGTTGTTACTTCTATAAGTGTGTATTCTCATAGTTTATTTTATATTTCACATATAGTATATATTTCCTTTGTTTGAAAATGTTTTCCTTATTGAAATATATGTTATGACAATATTAGATATGCAATGTAGTTTCTGCTCTAGTTAATATAGATTCATATAGCTACATACATTAGCATAATAGCAATAAAGCGTTCAACAGTGATCTCTAAATAATAGAAACTCTCAGGTATGTAGATTAAATAAAACCAGTGATAAACATGTACTTCATTACATAGTTTGAAACAAGGCCAACTGATATTTGTCATTCTGAAAGCAACTGGAGATGAAGATCTCATAATCTTCCCTCCTGATAGACTACTAGTGGGGTATTTATAGCCTCAAATGTAAATCAGGAGACTACTGCCGTGACACTGTTAACTTCAAACCCTGGGGCACTAGAATCTCATTCTCTCTCTCTCTGTCGTGAATAATCTATCATGTGTAACATACAGTAGTATACACTGCATTCCAGAAAAGAAATCCATCGGCTGTCGTATTTTAAAATGGATAAATGGAAAAGAGTAAAGGATTTGTTTTCTTTGTTGATTTCTGCTTTTGCTTTTTAAGCAGACATCAAAGAACATTCGGATTGAGATCATAGCTCTAAGCCTTAATGATTCTCGAATAACCATGGATGACACCATCCAGCGGCTCTTCATTGAATGCCGATTCTACAGCCTTCCCGCTGAAGAGACACCTGTATCACTTCCAAAACCCAAGAGTGGGCAGTGGGTCTACTATAACTATTGCAATGGTATGTATATATGATTCCTTTGTAATCCAGACTTTTAGGTTCGTCCCTTTTTGTCTATGGTAGAAACTGGAGGAGCAGAAAGTCTAATTCTCTAATAATCACATAAACTCATGAAAGTTTTGAGTGGGTTACATAAAGTTGAAGTAATACTATGGTTGAGAAAAAAAACAGGAAAGGAAGTATGTCTAGTTCATACAAAGAATACAAACAGAAAAATGTAGTTGCATTTAATTGAAAAATATGACATTTTTGAATAGGTAAAAAGTGCTAGTTTTTTTCAATCATATCATTCAAATCATTGTGGCTTAGTTTTTGTCTAGTGTTCTGTTCAGTGTCATCATACACATGATTTTTACAACACGTGTACATCTCTCCCAGCATCAACATGGTCAGGATTGTAACTTAGTACTTTATAGGTTCTCATAGGAAGCAGATTCCTCTCTTAGGAAAAAAAAACCTATTGGCCAGTTTAAGTTCTTAAATCAGTCATTTGTTTTTACGAACATTACCTGTTCATCAGTGTACAGTTCAAAAGAGAAAAAAGCTCATACCAAGCCACCATAGGTATAATGTAAAAATGTTAAGTTCTCTCTATGAAATGCTAAGTTTCCTTCATGAAAGCAAACATGAAAATGGAGTGTTGGTTATCCTCAGAACACAACATCTCATACTAAATACTAATATTTTTCATGGCTCTTAGAAATTCATTTCAAAAAACATGAATAAAACTCTCGTTTCTACAACAGCAAGATTAACAATGTCAGTAATGACTTTTTGCAACATTTTTGGAAATATGTTTAGTACTTAGATGGTAATCATAAATGATGTGTTGGCCTTGAATCCACAATTCTTGTGAATGTATACAAGGCATTTTAAATTTCACAATTTCTTGTTTTCTAATCTAGTTGCCTTCTAGCTCAAATTCTAGTTTCAGAAATTACACGGGAAATAAGCCAGGTGGTCAGGACAGGAATCTCATTTCTCCTTTTCACTCAATTTTTTGTATATATTTTTTATTGTAAAAATACTGTACCTAGTGATTACAGTTACATAAGTAAGGTAATGAGTACATTTCCTATCAAGCCTTGTTACCTCCTCCTTTGTTTTTTCCCTACCATCCCTTCCCTCCCCACCTCCCCAAGTTGTAAGGTTCATTTTCAACATAGTGTCTTGTACATCTCATTGTTAAAATGGGTCAGCCTGTATCCTTATCTTAGCATTTTTGTTATTTCCCTTCCCCTCCCCAAATTAGAAAAATGTATATACAAGATTCAGGGCACTGGAATCAAATACAGTGAAAACAGGGAATATACCATGGGGGAAGAACATACAAAAGAAACAAAAAATCACATGGTACATTGTAAGTACATTAAAAACAACAGCAAGAAAGATAAAACTACTTGTGTCTCTATCTTAGGGTTCATTTTGCTTAGCATCATCTTATATGGTCACATGTACATAGCTTTTGACCTTTTCTGATTGTCCTAGACATATACTAGTTATTGCAAATAAGGGAAACCATAAGACCTATGTTTCTTTGGATCTGGCTTACTTCACTTAATATAATTTTTTCCAAGTCTTTCCATTTCCTAACAAATGGGGCGATGTCATTCTTTCTGAGAGAGGCATAGAATTCCAGTGTGTGTGTGTGTGTGTGTGTGTGTGTGTGTGTGTGTGTGTGTGTGTGTGTGTGTGTGTGTGTGTGTGTGTGTGTGTGTGTGTGTGTGTGTGTGTGTGTGTGTGTGTGTGTGTGTGTACCATATTTTCTTGATCCATTTATCTACTGAGGGGTATCTGGGTTGGTTCCATATCTTAGCTATGGTGAATAATGCTGCGATAAACATAGTTGTGCTGGTAGCTTTAGTATGCCCTTGTTCGTGATCATTTGAGTACATGCCCAAAAGCGGGATTGCTGGGTCATAGGGGAGCTCTACGTGGGGTCTCTTGAGGAAACTCCATACTGCTTTCCAAAGTGGTTGAACAAGTTTACACTCCCACCAACAATGCAGTAGGGTTCCCTTTTGGCAACATCCCCTCCAGCATTTTTCACTCACTTCATATTAAAATTTTCCAAAAATATTTCCTCCAGCTTTCTATGGACCCTTAACTGCCAAAATACCACAAAAATAAACCATAATTATTGGTAATGAAATAAATTTTCAATTAATTTCAATAAAGGTACCACCAAGAGGAAACAAACTCCTTTTCTTTCCTTGTATTCTTTGTAAAATTCAGCAGTAGAATGTTGGCTAGTATGGCAGCAAAAGTTGTTTAGAAATTAACTATACAATGAGAAACTTGCTTCAAGAGCTTTGCAAATCCTTCCTTGAATCCCAGATCCTTCTCTGAATCAAACCTATAGTACATGCTCATGTTTTACTAAGATCTGTCTGGGTTTTTGTTGGTGGTGGTCGTGGTGGTTCTTTTAGTTTTTTGTTACTGCAAGGTGCCTAGCTAATTGATGTTTTAAGAAGGGTTTATGTTTCTGATTAATTTCTTGCCATCTGACCACAAGAAAATGAATTCATTGGGTTTAGAAAATTAATTCATTGGAATTAGAAATTAAATCATTGGAAGTGTTTGCTACATTTTTCTCCAGCTTCTGTTCCTAGTAAGATTTGTCTATGAGAAATTTTCAAGATGAGTTGAAAAAAAATTAAGGCTATTTTTAGGGAAGAGAACACAGTATTCTCTTTGCTTAGAATCAAGGTGAGGCTGCTTTATCACATCTAAAAATTGAAGTCCTAGGGAATTCACAAATTCACTAACCATACTGGAAGTCTTATTTTTTCACTAGTTTTAAGAATGAAAATGCTTATTCTTAAATTACTATAGTTGTATCACTGTCACAGGGAGATCACTTTTTAACTCTTTAGTTAATAAGCAACTATTTCATCTAATTATTGTGATGATGTAACATTCAGTTTTTACTTAGTATAGGTCAATGTAATATAGCCTTACATCTTCCAAATGTCATTAATTGTAAGTGAAAGTAATTTTATTTCCAAATTGACGTAAATCAAATGGAAGATTTAGAAGTCAATCAGTATATGGTCTCTCTTGTCTGAACACTCTACCTGTAGACAGGTTAGCTAAACCTAACCATGACTGTAGTGTACATTTGTGATTTGAATCTATCCAAAAAGAATTTGAATGCCAAGGCCTCAATTAGGCACATAAGCTGAATGGTGTAGACAAGTGATCCCCAGGATCACTCTCAATCAGATTCAGTCTTTATGAAGAGTTCCACCTCTGCACACAAATACACCTTACTATCACTGAGAAAGCTAAAGTTAAATATACTTCTTATACACTGGTCTCAAGAATAAGACATTAGTATTTTATTGGGCTTGAGAATTTTGCTGAGAATGCTGAGAAGGCAAGAAAATAGTTTGGGGGAAGAAAGATTAATGGTAGGTCTAAAGTATGTTGTCTGGGCTGAATAAAGCCTTCTAGGGAATTGACAGTGGGAAGAAAAAAGATTAATGAAATAGTGCAAAGTTTTTATGAGACTTATACAGATCTGTCCCTTGGTCTCTGAGGATTGAACAGTCTATCTTTTGGAAGAATTAAAGTTTAATTCAGAAAATGAAAAGGATGTAGAACATCAGATTTTGTTACTAATGGAAAGACAAATTTGGCAAAGATAAGGATTATGGTGATGATAATACTTTAATACAAAACTTATCTAAGATTCAAGGTTATTGACCTTCTATAATTAAAACATCTGCATTTCTTATGGGCACATGACATTGATAGAGAATATAAGGATTTCTCCAACTTGCAAAGTGAAGACTTTTTACTATATTTTTAATTGACATAATAATTATGCATCTTTATGGATGGGTCATATGGATATAGAGAGAGACACACACACACAATATTCACATCGGTATAAGGCTGTCTTCTCAAATATTTATCATTTCCTGTGTCTCAACACTGAAAATCCTTTCCTCTAGCTTTTTTGAACTACATCATATATTATTATCTATGGAGTACGATAAAACACCAATACTTATCTCCAAGTATAATTTGGTATCCACTGATCAACTTTTCCCCATCCTTCTTATCCCCACTATTCTACTCTCTGCTTCTGAGATTAACTTTGTCTACATTCCACATATACTAGCCTGGATTGTTCCACTTAACAAAATGATTTCCAGTTCCATCCATGTTACATAAGTGGCAGAATATCATCCTTTTTTTAATCTGAACACTATTACATTGACTAAGAGGGATATATTTTTAAAGGTGGACAACTGAAGACCAACTCAAGTATTTGTATTTGTTAATCAGATTTTTTCAAGTCCCTGGAGTTGAACTTAGGGCCTCTCACTTGCTTAGACAAGCACTTTCCCTATTTCCTACAGTGTTCAACACAAGCATGTTAATAGTTACTGACCCCATTCAAAATAGAGAAAGAAAGGTTGGTCTAAACAAGCATTCTCAATGTGTGGTACCCTGACCAGTAACACTGGGAACAGGTTAAATTGCGCATTCTCAGATTATCCAAGATCTACTGAATCAGAAACTAAGGATACAGCTCAATGATCTGCATTTAACAGTCCACCAAGGGATTACAATGCATTAGATTGAAAACCATTGGGTTAAAATTAAAGATATCCACCCTAAACAGTGTTTGTGCAAGAACAAGAGAGCTGTAATTCCAACTTGTCACAGTTTTAGGGAACTAAGCTTATTAATAAAGAACTAGAGTTTTCTCGGGAAGGTATACTTTTAAGCCAAAAGATTTAATTCACCTAGAGTGAACATCCCTTTATAAAAAGAGTGAAGGAAAAATAAGTTGGTGTTCCCTGTTCCTATTACAGAACGCTCTCACACTCCAGCCTTGTGCTGACAAAATGCTCACCACTTACGCAGCAGGAAAGGTTCAGCTTCAAATGGAAGGAAAAATGTTAGCATGGAAGGAGGAGTGATAGCATAAAAGAGGCAGACATTATTGGGTTCAAGACCCAAGTCTGCTGCTTTCTACAAATGTTAACCTCCTCTGGTCCATTTAGTTATTTGCATTTTTCCTGTTTTGGGGTGTTATTGTTGTTGTTTATCAGTGTCTTGATATACATAGACGAAGCTGGCCTAAAACTCACAATCCTGCCTGAGCCTGCTATTACAGATATACACCATCACACAACACCCGTCTCTGCCTGGTTTTTAACCCATGTTAAAAAAATTCAGCTGTTGTACTCATATTCAATCACACAGTAAATCGTAGCTACCATTATTTTTATCTTTATTAGGAGAACAGATAAGCCTCTGTGCTGGCCAAGCAGATGAAGCAAAAGTACCAGGAAAACCTATCTTTTAGTTTTTACTTTTTTTTACTGTCTTATTCTTTTACTATTTTAATGATATAAGTTTTTTGTTTGGGGAGGGGGAGTTGGTGATACTGAGGTTTGAACTCAGGGCCTTGTGCTTGCTAGGCATTCTTCTACTTAGGGCATGGTTCCAGCCCTTTTTCGCTTTTATTTTTTAGAGGTTTCACATATTTGCCAAAGGCCAACCTAGACCACCTACCCCTAGCCTCTCACGTAGCTGGGAATCATGCCACCATGCCTGGTTTATTTGTTGAGATGGAGGCTTACTACATTTTTTCCTGGACTGGCCTCAAACACCAGTCCTTCTGCTCTCCACTGCTTAAGTATGACCTCCCATGCCTGGCGTAAAGGGCACATGTAGAATTTCCGTATAGTTCAGCAATTCCACTTCTGGATAATTACCAAAAAAGAATTTAAAGCAAAAACACAAACTCTTGACAGCACTGTTCACAATAAGATTGAAACAACTCCAGTATCACAAGATGAATAAAATGTGGAATACATATCAAAAACATGATTCAGCCTTAGAAAGATATTAAATAGCTGGACGCCAGTGGCTCACACCTGTAATCCTAGCTACTCAGAAGGCTGAGATCTGAGGATCACGGTTCAAAGCCAGCTTGGGCAGGAAAGTCCATGAAATTCTTATCTCCAATAAACCACCAGAAAGCCAGAAGTGGCGCTGTAGCTCAAGTGGTAGAGTGCTAGCTTTGAGCTGAAGAGCTGAGGGACTGCGCTCAGGCCCAGAGTCCAAGCCCCACGATTGCCAAAAAAAAAAAGAAAGAAAGAAATTAAATATATGCTTCAACATAGATGAACCTTGGAAATACTGGTTCTTAGTGAAATAAGATAGGCACAAAGGATAAATGCTGTCTCACTCAACCTATATGAAGTACCTAGAATAGGCATAACCTAGAGTAGACAAATTCATTGAGACCAAAAATAAAAGAGTGATAGGCACTGGGAAGAGAGAGGAGTAAAGAGATTTTTAACAGGTAGAGTTTCAGTTTGGGAAATGAATAGGTTTGTTTTTTTTTTTAATTTTTTTTTTTTTTTGTCAGGCGTGGGGCCTGAACTCTGGGCCTGGGCGCTGTCCCTCAGCTCTTCAGCTCAAGGCGAGCGCTCTACCACTTGAGCTACAGCGCCACTTCCGGTTTTCTGGTGGTTTATTGGAGACAGGAGTCTTACGGTCTCTGCTGCCCGGGCTGGCTTTGAACCGCGATCCTCAGATCTCAGCCTCCTGAGTAGCTAGGATTACAGGCGTGAGCCACCAGCGCCCGCCTGAATAGGTTTTTTTTTAAAGTGTAAATGTACCTAATACAACTGAAGCATTTGCCTTAAAATGCCTAAAATGTTAAATTCTGTGCTATATGTATTTTACCACAGTTTAAAATTTTAAGCTATTGCAATTCATCAAAACTGCTCAAGAGTTTAATTGAGAAAGCTTTTATCTGTATACTGGATTTTGGAATCCTGATTTTAATTCAAAGAAAATGTTATTTGTTTATCTAAGACTCTAAGAAGTTTTGGTGACATAAAAGTTAAGAGTTGATGTCAAGATGCACAGGTCTGAAAAGTTATAGGTAACTAACCTATTTTTACTTTTTAATCACTACATTTGCCCTCGTTTTCAAATGTATAAACCAGGATGGCATAAAAGCTGTACAACTCTGAAGGAAAAGAGGGTATGAAATAAATCTTGAGTAAATCATTTTAAAATATCTCATTTGGAAAAACAGAATTCCCATTTAACTTGGTATATTGGCAGCCTCTAAAAAAATGAGTTACTATTGGCCATCATCTATTAACATGACTTTCTGGCATTTATAAGTGTAACAAAATGCCCTGTACCTTATATCATTATTGACTCATTATACCACTCAGCCAACCTGTGAATGAGTCACACATACAAATAAGAGTTTCCTGTAAAAAGCAATGAGCCAGGCAGTGCTCTCTGACCCTGGCTCTCCAGAATGGGTTGTTACTTTGGATGCTATGTCTTCAGGATTCCCAGTTCTTTGGAAGCACTCACTCACTACTATGTAGCCATCTTCAAGGCTCCCACTCCATGTGCTTAACTCAGTACCAGGCATATGTTTAGCCCTCAATTAATATATTGTTCACCATAATTTGTAATGGAACTAAAATTGTCCAGAGGAACATATTCAATATGAAATCCTTTTGTTCCCAGGAGATCTGAAGGAGAATTAGCTTTAGAATTGACATAGTATTCTTTTTACCCTGTGCACACTTTTGATCCCAGATAATGTCTAAGTTGAGATTGTATCACAAAGGAGCCTTACATCCAGGTTGGTATTTGAGAAAGAAATGTCTTCAAGAAGCTAAGGTGTGGTTGAAAAGAAAAGCTGAAAAGAAAAACAAAAAATCAGGATGAAAATTTAGTGTTTATACTACAGATATCATTCCCCAAAGTACACTTATTGTCAGTGTCAAGTGTTCACCATCTTCCTGAAAGTACTCTTGGTAGGCATGTAATTTCCCATTACAGCTACACAGTCTGCTATACACATTCCTGCATGGCAGCATGTACCTTTACCAACCAAAGATTTAGACTTCACACTTTAGCTAAAAACCTCTCCATTCCTTCATTCAGGCACAGTCTCCATCAACCATGGATCTCCTTCCCTAGCTCACTAGATGCCTTTTATTGCCTGTTGTGGCAGCAGAGAAGGATTAAATTACCGAGGCTGTCAGAAAGGACAAGCACTCTGCAATACATTATCATCACTCGCTTCTTGGGTGAAAGAAAATGCAGTAAATCCCTCAGTACAAAGCAATAAAGACCACTGTCTTCTGTCATGACTGCCAGTGTCATTAACAGGCAGTGACAGTGATGTGGCACTCTTAGATGTTGCTTGTAGCTTTTCTGACAGTATGCACAGAAACCTGCCAGTAACGTGACATTAGATCACATGATCTTCAGGTTTAATTCTGGTTTCTGGAGCGGTTTTCTTTTCCCAGGCATACAAGTGTGGTGGCAGGTATTTATAAGAATACAGAATTGTCCTATTGCATATTCCTAAGTGACTTCATTTTGTGGATTTTTTTCTTCTTTTTGGCATAGTGATCAGCATGGATGAAGAAACCAGCCAAGCAAAAAGAGACATCTTAAAAGCTATACTACTAAAGCAAAAAATGCCTAATCAAAGGTACATTTAAGCAGTTTAAATTATCTGGTGGTTTATATGTAGATTGTCTGCAGAGTGATGTAGTTAAGTAAAAGGAAGTAGGACATAAGATGAGGAATTGAACTCTAGAGTTCTCTGATATACCTATGTCCTTGAATGCATGACCTCTCTGGATATCTTTCCTCCTACAACTATAGTGGTCCTACCTACCATATGGAGTAACAGAAAGCATCTGGTAATGTTTTGAAACTTAAAGACTGTGCCATACACAGAATTACACCAGTATAACTGGAAAGAATAGGTTAAAATCCTACCAACTCAGAAGGCTGAGATCTAAGGATCCAGGTTCAGAGCAAGCCACAACAGAGAAGTGCCTGAGACTCTTATCTCCAATAAATCAGCAAAAACCCAGAACTGGAAATCTGATTCAAATGGAAGAGCACTAGCAGAAAAAGCTGAGCACAGTATGAAGCCCAAAGTTTAAGCCACAGTACTGACATAATAAAGGTTTGAAAAAAGAGCCAAATGCTTGGTTAGAAATTCTTCCTTCACGTAGGTGCTGTCTGACTTTGGGCAAATTATATTCATCTATGAAATAGCAATGATAATGCTATGTAGGGTTATGAGCGTGAAGTGAAGTCATGAAGCACAGGTGTAGTACCTGAGACAGTGCATAGAGGTGTTCATCAAAGCCACTCCCAGTGGTGGTGGTTATAACAACTCATCAGCCTCTCGGTATTTCATACTTTTGAATGTGTGGGAGATTTTTCAGATTTCAATAGGAGACTTGGAAATTCTGGTTCAGTAGAGAAAATAAATTCATTTTAGAAGGAAAAAGATTTTTCCCTTTTTAGTTTTACCTTGAAAGCTTTTTGTTTTTTATTGTTGTTTGGGTGGTGGTTTGTTTTTTGTTTTGTTGTTTGCTGGTTCTGGGGCTTGAACTCAAGGACTGGGTGCTGTCCCTGAGCTTTTTTTTCTCTACCCCAAGGCAAAGCTCACAGACTTTGCTGCCCAGTCTGGCTTCAAACTACAATCCTCAGATCTCAGCCTTCTGAGTAGCTAGGGTTACAGGCATAAGCCACTCGCACCTGACTCCTTGAAAAGTTTATTTGGGTTTATCAGACAGGTAAATTTTTAAAAATTCACATTAACTCTAGTGACTCCTATCCTCCCATCATTGACTCTAAAAATACCCAAGCACCCACAAAGATACCATGTTCACATCACTTCTCAGAAAAACCTAAAGAGCCTATAGGAAGTGACTGACCCTAGCTAACAACTGCAGAGTTCATGTCTCTAGTGCTAACCCCATGAGGGGTTATTTCACACAGCCACAGCCAATAGTAACCAGGCAAGGTTCTCACCTTTCATAAGTACTCAGGTCACATGATTTCATGTGAGTTCAAGTAGCCCCTACTATATGAGAACTCATTTTCTCCTATAGCCACCCTGTTCCCTAGCCACAGCTAGCAGCTGACTGGTCTTCCTCCAGTATCTACAGTTCTAAGACATTGTAGAAGGCATGGTTATAGTACCTTTGACACTTGTATATTTCCATATGCATGGTGAGACATCAGGCACTTTTTTAATTTTTATTTTTATTGTAAAGGTGATGTACAGTAAGTAAAGCCAGGCGCTTGTGGCTCACACTTGTAATCCTAGCTACTTAGGAGGCTGAGTTCTGAAGTTTGCAATTCAGAGCCAGCCCAGGCAGGAAAGGTCGTGAGGCTCTTATTTCCAAATAACTACCAGAGAACCAGAAATGGCACTGTAGCTCAAAGTGAAAGAACACTAGCCTTAAGCAAAAAAGCTTAGGAACAGCACCCAGGCCCTGAGTTCAAGTCCCACAACTAACAAAAATTAAAATAAAAGGGAATACATTGAAATAGGACCTTAAAATTGTTTACTTGAAGTCATAATTTTGACACTGACTCAAAGTCCTCTTTTGGTATGATTTTTTTCTCTTTAGCAGTGTTCTACTGAGCAGATCCACAACTAAGACAGACTATAACAACAAGTAAACAATCAAACCAATTACATATTGTGATAATTAGTAACAGAAACTGAACAAGTTAAATGTTAGAAGAGAATAAAAGAAGGCAAGTGTGAGGAGGCAACAGACATTTAAACTGATTTATGAAGAATGAGCAGGCCCAATCAAGTCACAGGGGCTGTGGGCAGATGGCCCCAGGCTGAGGGAATTGCAGGCATGAGGAAGATGCAAGGGGTGTTCCAAGGCCGGGCAGAGAAGGTTAGCAAGACTGGTCTCTTAAAGGCTGAGAGTTTCAAGAAGGAGAGAAGGGTGAGGAGACAGGCACAGCTGGAGTAGGGCAGAGTCACTTGATGATTTTGACCTCCACTGGGGTTATTGGCCTCTGCCTGGGTAAGAACTCAGGCTCTCACACCAGACTATCAGCCTCAGCAAGCTCCACCTCTTCATTCTTTGTTAAAGGTAAGATGTATAAGGAGTGTGTGTGTGTGTGTGTGTGTGTGTGTGTGTGTGTGTAAACTGGATTAGTTTTTAAGTTATTCTAATGAATTTCCTCCCCTTTGAACTGAACTTTATAGCTTAATTTTATTTTGCATATATTTTCTAGACAACGTCTTAGTATGTTGCCCAGGCTGGCTTTGAACTGCTAGCCTCAAGTGATCCTCCTGTGTCAGTTTCCCACATGGGGAAATCCAGGGTATAACATCAGACCTGGCTTGTTTTAGTTTTGATATCTCCTTTTGTTCTGCAAAAATCTAAACATTTCCACTAATTTTTCATTTTTAATCCTTTCCCTGGAATTTAATATTTCCTCATTTTGTCTCAGTATATTTATATAACAAAGGTTAATAGCTTGCTTTTATAAAGTGATATTATTCTTAGGAATATATACTTAAAGATACATTAAATACATGAAAACAGCATTGCTATGGCCTGGTAGATTGTTTTTCCTGTATATCTTGCCTTGTTGAATGTGCATCACATACTACTTCTACTAATCCTTCTCTTACAACCACATTCATTTTAGGGAAACATCTCTGTCAGCAGTCATTCTGTTGGAGTAACAGCAATGTATAATTTAGGAATCGCACAAATTTTCAAGAGTAACTTTTCCCATATCATCTTTTTTTCCCTTAGAAAAATTGAAGCTTAGGGACTTTACTGGTAAAGCACTTGCCTCACATGTGTGAGGCCCAGCACCACAGAAAAAGAAATATTGAAGCTTATATAACTCTACTTAGATTTAAAACAGCACTTATAAAAAGAGCAAACATTTACTTAGTGTCCTCTGTTCCAGGCATTTTCTTAACATGTATCATCCCATCTGATCCTCACAAGAGCCCTATAAAATATATAAAGATAATTATCCCTATTATACACAAAGTGAGTTCAGAGATTAAGTAAGTTGTCCAAGATCACACAACTAAATAGGAGATCAAGAATGTGAACCAAGTCTGGGTGACTGAAGCCACTTTATAGTAAACCCTTCATCTTACAGGACATAAAATGTCTAGTCTGTCCCTTGAAGGGTAGGATCTGCATCCTTCATCATTATTGTGTGAAGAGGTGTTAACTTCAATTTTGATTTAAAATGTTTCAATTTTTCTAATCAAACTATAGTTAACTAAAAGCAGAGAGTTGGTAAAGGAATGAAATGCTGAATTTATCTCCAGCAAATTGATTAAAAATACTGTCATGTTTACTTATAGGCATTTGGAAAATATTTGTATTTGCAAAGGTATGATTTCTCGTACTTAGATTTGCATGTTTTTTTTTTAATTGGAATAGATATATTTCAAAAGTTTAAAATGGCAAAGTTTACAAGCATCCGTGGTTTCAGCTATGCTGCCAAGACATATCAAAAGAGTACTTAACTGAAATTCCTGCCCGTTAGTCAATCCAAGTGTGTTTGGCCCCAACACAAGCCACTAATTCAAATCGGTTCCATCAGAACCCTACAATTATGTGTGTAAGAGTAAAATAAAACTTGGATTCTATGATTGTAAGTTAAAAGATTGCTGAAGTAATACAAACATTTGATATAGCCATTGAGAACTATATCTTTATCTAACGTGATTCAGACTATTGCCCCAGGAACTTGGTCTTTGCATTTTGTAGAACACATACATTTGGTTAAGTTGCCTAGTGCCAACTCCAGAATGGTATATGCTAACAAAAATGATGCATTTCTGTAGAATCTGCTGACTGTAGAACCTAGGTCATCTTCACATTGTCCTTTTAATCTTGTAAGTAGAGGTTTCAAAATATGATCAGATACGGTGAACCTAGTCCTTCCCTTTGCCTGGTAATTTTCTTAGCACTAAGACTCTGTAGAATTTGGAATCTAAGAGTAAGTTCATGTTCATTTGAAGGTTCAATGTACTTTAACAGTTCTGAGTTCATATAAGAATTGAATCTTTCTATTCTGTTCTTTCTATTGGGATACTTGAACTCTTATCATTGAGTATGAATTTTTATGTTTCCATGTGGGAAGTCAGGTGCTGGTGGCTCACACCTGTAATCCTAGCTACTCAGAAGGCTGAGCTCGGAGGATCCTGGCTCAAAGCCAGCCCAGGCAAGAAAGTCCATGAGACTCTTATCTCCAGTTAACCACCAGAAAACACAAAGTAACACTGTGGCTCAAAGTGATAGAGCGCTAGCTTTGAGCAAAGCAGTTCAGGGACAGTGGTAGTGATTTTTCTCTGTCCTTATGCCTCCTCAGCATTCGCTTCACTGTGGTCAGTGACCCTCCGGAGGATGCACAGGATTTGGAGTGTGAGGACATTGGCATTGCTCACATCGACCTCGCCAACATGTTCCAAGAAGGAAAAGACATCATCGAGCAGAATATTGATGGTATGAAGATGATATGATGGTTGAAGAGTCACTAAGTGTACACAGCCAACAGTTGCTGAAATCAGGACTTTTTAATCAAAACCTTTTTCCTAGGTACACTGGAGTTGAGCCACAGTAGTCAAATCCTTTGTAACTCCCCTGCCTTCTACTGAAGCCGGCTCTCTGCCCTTCTCCCTCTTTCCTTTCTTTGGCTGATAGAAATTGTAAGATAATTCATTGACCATCACAAGGAAACTATTCATTTTTTGGTATTGAGTGTAAGGAATTTTTTGTTTTTTATTTTATTTTTTTTGCTAGTAGAACTGGCATGAGCCAGCAAGAATGTTTTTTTCATGTTGTTTATAGGAGACTCAGCTAAGACACTTAGACTTAAGCATCTGAGTCAGTTATGTTAGACTCATTATGGTAATGCCTTCCTTTGGACTTCTCTGTAACTCCCATGTTAGAGTCACTGAAGGAACTCTGGATAGCTTCCCGCTGGATTCCCATAGGTGGATAAGATTCCAGACCAAATGTGCAGTGCGAGATTTTCATCTCACCAGAGGTGGTTCCCAGTAGTGTTTAATTTCTACCTTCTATTTATTATACAGCATATTTAGCACTTTCTGAAGGAACTGTATTTTATAAATCATTCTTTCCCATCATAATCAAGGAAGACTTGAGCTACATCTAATAAATGTAAAAATGCAACTGATAGCCAGGTGCTGGAGGCTCACTCCTATAATATCAGCTACTCAGGAGGCTGAAATCTGAGGATTGCTGTTCAAAGCCAGCCCATGCAAGAACGTCTGTGAGACTCTTATCTTCAGTAAACTACTCAGTAAAAGCCAGAAGTAGTGCTGTGGCTCAAGTGGTAGAACACTAGCCCTGAGCAAAAGAAGCTCAGGAACAGCACCCAGGCCCTGAGTTCAAGCACCAGGACCAGCACCAAAAAAGAAAAGAAAAGAAGGGGCTGGGAAGGTAGCTCAGTGGTAGAGCGCTTGCCTTGCAGGCATGAGGTCCTTGGTTCGATTCCTCCGCACCACATAAGCAGAAAAGGCCAGAAGTGGTGCTGTGGCTCAAGTGGTAGAGCACTAGCCTTGAGCTGAAGAGTTGAGGGACAGTGTTCAGGCCCCACAACCGACAAAAAAAAAAAAAATACAACCAATTCCTAATTCAATTAACTTAGCAGAGACATCTCTGAAAGATGTTCCTTATGCACGCATTCAAGAACACTTAATGGAGCAGCTTCTTAGTGCTAAGGGGTTTGTTCACACCATGGTCCTACATCAGGCTACTTGTCCTGGATATGTGTCATGCACTCAAAAGTCAGGATCAAGCCAAAGAATTGTCCCAAGTTAGACCAAAGAAATAAATGAGAAGCCCATTCTGAGGAATCTTTATGAAGTATACACCTGTGACCTGGTAGCCCAGAAGAAAGATGAAAAGATTAAAGTATCACTCTGAACTCTCAAAAACTCCTAGACCAAGAGAGTCTAACAAAAACACCAAAATTATTTCTGCTCTATACTCCTGATCTTTTTCCAGTTTTGTTTAGCAACCATGTTCTCCTGTGATTTCACAGAAACCATACTGGGCTGAATTTCAGCTGCCCTGGCCATGTTTACAGAAGCAGTAAGAAGACCAGGCACTGTTGTGGCAGAATTGGAATTCTGCATTCTGTGTTACATAGATGTGAGCATCCCTAGGAAGAAATCAAACAGGAATATCAGCTGGGTTCAACTAGGCCAATGTGCTTCCCCAACCTCCCATTCTGCATCTACTCCTGTACTGAGTTTTAAAGGTTTTCTCACATACTTTCTTTTAATTAAAACAAAGACAATTGGATATGGTGATACTTTCTTTTTTTTTTTTTTTTTTTTGGTCGGTCGTGGGGCTTGAACTCTGGGCCTGGGCGCTGTCCCTCAGCTCTTCAGCTCAAGGCGAGCGCCCTACCACTTGAGCTACAGCACCACTTCCGGTTTTCTGGTGGTTTATTGGAGATAGGAGTCTCACGGTCTCTCCTGCCCAGGCTGGCTTTGAACCGCGATCCTCAGATCTCAGCCTCCTGAGTAGCTAGGATTACAGGTGTGAGCCACCAGCGCCCAGCAGGTGATACTTTCTTGCCTCCAGTTCCACTACTTGAGAGGCTGAGGCAGGAGGATCACGACTCCAATGAACTTAAATGAAGTTCAAGTAAAACCAGAAGGAATATAAACAAAACATTATAAAGACTCTTAAGTACTGTCAAACTCTCAAAGTCCAGAATTCTGGCTTTAGGTCACTCAAGTACCACTATCCACAGAAGCATGCAGTCTGAGGTATTAGATTGGGATCCTATCCAGCCATGTTTGGGTAAGGCTCAAGGCTTTGGTCCAGAGTTCATTTCAGGGACACCTCTGAAAACAGAGGTCTCTCCCCCGCAAAGCTGAGGGGCCTCAGAGCAGTCCATAGACCACAACATTCCTATGTCTGTCTGCCATTTTCATTTTTCAAATTTCATATAAAACTTGCTTTAAATGGAATGTTTTCTTTAGAAAGATAAGTAACCAATCCAAATTAAGATCATGTAACATCTTTACAGTGGTTTGCCATTCTGAAATTCGTTGTTCACACCATGTGTTAGAACAAATTCTAACTTGGTTGTTACATCTTAATCCCTTTTAGACATTTATTGTCTTAAAAATACCTGTTGCTAGGTAAACTTAAAGACTAGGTTATGTTTTAACGCTACAAGTATGCATCTTCATGAACATACGATAAAAGTTAAGAGTATGAAGTATGGCTGAATTTGGGGCTTTTAAGGAGCTATTTTTATTTTCTCACTGACTTTTTCAGCTAGCCCATCTCAAGAAAAATCTGATGAATGAGACTGACACTTCCTTGCTATTTTCTCCTAGTTTTTGATGCACGAGCAGATGGTGATGGCATTGGCAAGCTCAAGGTGACAGTGGAGGCGCTCGATGCCCTACGGTCAGTCTACGAGCAGTACAGAGAGGACTTGGAGGCTTGAAAGAAGCAGCTCCAGAGGCATCTCCTACTTCTAAGTAAATGCCCACATGAAAGCTCTTAAGATGAGATTTTCTGTAATTACTCTGGTGTATATAATCTATAATTCATGGGGTGCTGGGAGGGTGAGGCCTGGGTTTGGGTTTGAAATGTTCTAGTTTTGTATAGTTTTTCATTTGTTTATTTTTCTATTCCCTCCTTCCCATGACTGCTACCCCTAAGGACTGAAGTTTCTGCAGTGGGTAACACCTTCTCAATAATTTATACCTACACGATAGCTTGAGAAAATGTATTTGCATTTTGAACATTTCCTACAAAGAACTGAAATGCAATTCCCATTTTTATTTTTAATAAGCAAAAGCACGAATCTTAAGAAAAAAACTATAAAAAACCACTTTTATGTTATCCCTAATCATCCCACTAAATGGAATATCTGTGATTAGTCTCATTAAGAGTTTTATACTGTGAAGATTTTATTAGAAGCAATATATGAAAATTACTTGGATTAATGTGTTAATCTTCCTCTTTAAAATGCTAATATCCATTTTATACACATTAAAGCTCAGTATGCATTTTCTTTGATGCATGCAGTTTCTATCAATTAAATATAAAGAAGGAGAATTGACACCAACTTATCAAATTACTGCAAGGGGTGTTTTTGTTTCTATTTCTTGAAAATTATATTTGTATTGCTTTCATGTATTTGTAATAATATGGGATCTAGAGGCATGTCTATATAAAGAAGTAATAGATGGGATGGGAAATTCATACTTTTGAAAACTTAGTTTATGACACAGAAATTATTTTAAATATGACTAGTTTATGACATAGAAATTATTTTAAATATGACTAAATTCTGCTACACTTAGACCTGAAAGAAATATCTTTTTATCATTTTTTTAAAACTTACATCGAGCTTATACAATGCTGGAGTGCATGTGGATAACCAGATCCTCAAAAAGCAGTTGAGAAAGTTAATTTTCTAGCTTTACCCAATCTCACTGAAGGATTTAATTGATATTTTTAATGGAGCTGTGAATCAGTGCTGCAAAGGAATTGTCTCTAGAGGTCTAGGATATAATGCATTTCATTTTTTAATTTACTTTTTTATTTGTCATTTTCTTCAAAGGATTTTTATAGGCTGTGGGTTTTCACTGTTTGCAAACAGGCTATGTTCCTTCTTAAGCATATGTAAAGTATTCAGGGAGATAAGTAATTTATTAAAATCTACCTAATTTGCCGTGATATATTAAATCTCTGCTTCAGTGATCACAGACCATTTCATTTAGAGAATTAGGCATTCCCTCTTTGTGTGATTAAAGCTCTGGAAAATGAGTTCTTTGCTCCTATTTGTGAACATTCAAAGCCTGCTAATGGCAAGAAGATGGAATAGATTATGAGACAATTCATTACAGTTCAACAGGGGAAAAAAAGCAGCTATAATGCAAAAATGCAAGTATGAATATCTGCATATAGTTTGAACCATCTGTGCTCTAATGGCTCCAATAATGACTCTCATCTTTAGGAGGCTTTGAAATGACATCCATACAATATTAATTTGTTGCTGTACATTGTGGGACCAGTAGAGTATGATCTGACCACAAAAATCTATAAATTCTGTCTCTACCATTTGGCCTCCCTGTCCTGGAGCCTGCCATCTCCAAGGGGAATCTTGCTCTCATCAAACTCTGCAAATCTTCCTGACAACTCATTCCTCTGGAACCTTCTAGCAACCACAAACATCTGCAGACAAAACCTCTCCAATCCTAGTAAACAACCACATGTTTGTTGTCACTTCAGCTGGCTCTGAGCTCATCATCTTGGCCTCCCTTTCTAGCTTTCTTTGGCTTTGTGCAGTTACAGTGTCATTAAGGTTCCGTAATATTCCCTGCAATAATTTAAAACAGCCAGATTATACCCTGGGATTAACTGAGTGGTTTTTGAGACATTTATTGTGGTATTCTCCCAGAAGGTTTGTATTATTATTTTAAAATGTTACATCCTAAACTAAATACCCTCTCTGCAGAGAGAAAAACTGGGTTTCATTGGCTTCTTGAGATCTAAGTGGCAAGGGGAAGTTTTTATCAGTGAATCAACTGTATAGAATCTATAACTCAGATAAGATTAGGAGATTAATCCTGTTACTCTCACATCCATGTTTATTGTAATATTTAAAACTTGCTTTCTAGTTTTAAATATTCAGTTTCAGAACTCACAGATGTTCCCAGCACTCATTTTCACACATAATGGCTGACACATTTTGAAGTAGGTAAGTCATATCAAGTCCTCTCATGGAAATCCATTTGTATTTACTTTTTCTTTTGTCTTATGTTAAGCAGAGGTCATTGAAAAGTTCACCACCTTTCAGCTTGAAGAGTGATGGTTTTTCTCTCAGTGAGCCAAGCTTAAATAGTTAAGGATGGCAGGAGATGATGGGTACTGCCCGCCACGGCCTTGTCACCCAGACACACCCATCAGAGGTGAGGCTTTTGTGAACCTACAGCTCCCAGTGTAATGCACACAATAAATACACTTAGCACTTGGAGGCTGGAAATTGTGCTTATAGTTTGGAAGTATAAATAGAGACGTGATGTGGTGTGTGGAAGAGCGTATTTTGCATGGTTTGTTTTTTGGGGATTTTTTTTTGTTTTTTGTTTTTTTTTGTTTTGCCTACTGTAGTAGAATTGTCAAATTCCCAGCCACTGTCATGAGAAGCAGTTGACAAAAATAAGTTTTATGGTTTACAGTGTGGTTTACGTGGAGAACATTTCTCTTCACTCTCAGTTTCAACATGTTTTCTAAATTATCATGGTTTGTTGCCATTTAACTTAAATTAGGTTGTTTTTTTTTTTTTAGAATAGAGAATATGTTTAATCAAATAAAGAGAGGCCACATTGAGATTCTGCTGTTCCTGTCATTCATTTGTTACCACAAAACACAAGTAATTTCTATGTGTGATGAAGAAGTGTGGCTGAGAAGTGGTCACATGACTTGGGATGTTCTGCGTGCACCCATGTTCCCACAACAAAACTCAAATGATTTTAGTAATCTGACATCAAGGGCTGGAACAATGAAAAACAGCTCTTACACATGTTCTAACAAGAATCTGATTAACATTTTTGTGGATATGGAAAAATAACTTTTTTTAGTCAAACTGGCACTATTGCTGAATTTAGAATGATTTCCTTATGTACAAAATAGCAAAATGTGAATCATGTCTGTGAACAAATAGGAGAATGTCATCTTTGTGAAACACAACATAACCAAAAGGGAGCTTTGGGGATATAAAATGATTGGGTGATTGACAATATCAGCATGATAATTCAGCCCCCACAATGAGTACATTTTCATAAGTCACTCATGCCTGAAGGCCTGTGACTACCTTAACAAAGAAAAACTAAACCGATGATTTATTATAGATTGGGCAACATGCTAATTAAATCCATGAATGGAAGCAAAAACAGCTTTACATCCCCTTTGTTCAGAACAAAAAACAACCTCCTGGTCAACCAGAAAGCTAGAAAATATCAAAGCGATAGAAACGAGTGTTTTAAAATCTCAAAATATAGAATTAGAAAATATGCTCTTATTCCAGTCTCTTACATTGCAAGATAGAATTTTCACTTCCATTTCTAAGTACCACCAGTGGACTGCACCACACAGTCTGACCTCCTGGAAAAAATGGGTTCATTTTACAGGTATTGGTTACCTTTTGTTCTTGCCCCTTCATTTTCTAAATGATATTCACTAACAGTGAGTCATGTCTCTCCTGAGTTCAGGCCTCTAAAGAGAGGTCTGGCACTTTCCTGAGGCAGAGGCCTTGGTTTTGCCTCCTGTTCACTTTACTCATCCCTGTAAGTATCCCCTCTGTTCATTAAACACCGATGGGTTTTTTTTCTTTTCTAAAAAAGTTAGCATCTTCATTTCTGTATCTGACCAACATCTCCCCCATATCCATCTACCCACTTAGTTTTAAAGTTAAAGCACAGCTTTTTCCTCTTCCTACTTTTCCAGGTATTCCAAAACATTTCTGTAAAGACTTGCGTCTTTTCCCCCATCTTTTTAAGATGAGAGGCTTACTGTGAGGCCCTAAACTGAGCTTGCTTGAACTCAAAATCCCCAGACTCCCCATAACTGGAATTACAGGCACAAGACCACTGTGCCCAGCTCAGATTTGTCTCAATTTGCATGACAGGGGTCTTCTTAGCCCTTACTGAGGAAACTACAGGAATAATTTTCCTATTACTTGCTTCTTAGGCCTTTTCCCAAGTCACAGAGATACACAAGAACTCCAAAGTTCTTAGTAATCCTCGGGAAGGCCCTAGAGACTATTTTTTTTTCCAGAGAAAATGTAGGATTTTTTAAAAATTATTTTCAAGTAGTTGTACAAAGGGATTTTAATTTGACATGTCTTTTTAAGTAGGTTTCAATTTAACATGTCTTTGTGTTACAGTGTCACCCCGTCCATCATTCCCTCATCTATCCCATTCTGACCCACCTCATTTCTTCATTTCATTTTCATACATTGAGGATTAGGACTATATTGTTCTGCTCCCCTCCCATTAGTCCCTTTCCTGGAAGTGTTCAGCTATTATAGCTACTCATTTTAACCTGTCAAATTTTCAAAGAGGTTATACCATGGAAATCTACCTTGATGTATATCCACTCAGTTTGATTGTGTATATGACCCAATGTGTGTTCATACATTTACATTTTCCACATATGAGAGGAAATACATACCTTTTGTCTGGCCTCACTTTCCCCAAGTCCATCCATTTCCTTTTAAAATGACATAATATTCTGACGAGCGAATAAAATTCCACCATAAATATATCACACTTTCTTGATCCATTTGTCAGTAATAGGGCATCTTTTTCCCTTCTCTCCTTCCCTATTTTTCTCAATTTTATCTATATACAATGAAGTCTTGACTGAATTCTTCTCCCTACCCTTTTTCATTCATCTACCCATTTCCCCTTGGCTCCTCCCACATCCCTTGCAAGTACTCATTTCCTGGTACTTATTTTGTTGGGCTTTCACTTAGTTTTTCTAAAGAACTACAGTGCTGGGTGCTGGTGGCTCATGACTTAGCCACTCAGGAGGCTGAGAACTGAGGATCCCTGTTCAAAGCCAGCCCTAGCAGAAAAGTCCATGAGACTTATCTCTAACTACCGGAAAACCAGAAATAAAGCTGTAGCTCAAAGCTTGGAGAGAGCACCCAGGCCCTAAAGCTCAATCCCCATGACCAACAAAGAAACAAAAACTGTACTATTTGAGCTCTCCATGAAGTCTATACTTCAATTAATTCATTTTTAACCACTAGCATACCACCCATACTTATAGATTTATAGGCATATTCTAGCCACTACAAATGAGGGAAACCATGTTAATGTGTTTCTCTGGGTCTGACTTCACTATATTTTTTTCCAATTTCTATTTCCTTTCAAATGGTATAATATCATTCTTTGTGATGGAGAGTAGAATTCTGTTGTGATACACCATTTTCTTGGTCCATTGAGGGGCATCTGGACCCATTCCATATCTTGGCTAAAACAACACTGAAATTCCATTTCATCCCAGTTAGAATGGCCATCAAGAAAACTAACAACAAATGCTCAAAGATGGGGCCAAAAGGGAACTCTAAATTGTTGGTAGGAATGTAATCTTGTTCAACTATCATGGAGGTTCCCCAAAAAATCAAACATAAAACTACCCTGTAGCCCAGAAATCCCACTCCTGAGCATCTATCCTAGAGAGCATAAATAAGGCCACAGTAAAGCCAACAGAACAACCATCATTCCATTGAGATGGAATTGCAGTGTTATTGATGTGCATCTTTATTGGCCGTTTGTACTTCTGAGGAAAGTCTATGAAAGGCCTTTTCCTCACCTCCACTTGGCCAGGGAGGGATTCACATGTAATGAGACTTGAATTCAGGGCTTCAGGCTCTCACTTGGTTTTCTCACTCAAGTCTTTCGCTCTAACACGTAAGCCACATCCCACTTCCCTTTGCCTCTTTATTAATTGGGTTAGTAATTTGGGGGAGGGTAATTTTTGCTGCTTTTTTTGTATATTGTGTAGTAAGACCTTTGTCAGACATAGCTACCTAGCAAAGATAGTCTCCTGTTCCTTTTAGGATTAGTGATTATATCTTTTACTGTCCAAAAGCTTTTTAGCTTGATAGAATTCACAATTCCATTGATCAAATCTATTTGCTGAGCCTCTATAGACTTGTATTCAGTAAGTTCCTGCCTATGCGGACAAGTTCTCTTCCCTGCTCTTTCCTGTATTTTCAAGGTTTCAGGTCTTACAATAAGATCTTTGGTCCATTCCGAGTTGGCATTAGTACAAGGTGACAAGGATCCAGTATGTCTTCTGCATATAGATGTGCACTTTTTCCAACATCATTTGAAGAGATTTTTTTTCTTTCTTTTTTGTAGTGCTCAAACCTAGGACATGGCACTTTCTAAGCAAGAACTTTGCCACTAAGCTACTTCCCAGCCTGAAGAGCTTATGCTTTTTCCAGCATATTTTTGCTTCTTTGTCATAATCTTTGTGTGAAGTCATTTCTGAACTGCTCCATTGGTCTTCAAGTCCATTTTTGTGTGATTACAAAGCTGGTTGTTGTGGCTCTGAACTGTGATGTCTAGAATGTGATTCAAGCAACATTGCTATTTTCTTGCTCAGGATTACTTTGGCTTTTCGGGGCCTTTTGTGGTTCCATGTGAAAATTTAAATTGATTTCTCCATCTCTACAAAGAATGGCATTGGGATTTTATACTGAATTTTTAGATTACCTTTGACATTACCATGGCTATTTTTGTGATATTAATTCTGTCAGTCTATGAACATGAGATGTCTTTCCATCTCATTATTAACTTTAGTTTCTTTGCTAACATTTTGTAGTTTTCATTGTAGAGGTTCTTCATTCCTTGAGTTAAAGATACTTGTCTTGAATATTGTAAACAGAATTATTCTAATTTTCCTTCCATTTTTTTCAAGTTGGTATACAGGAAAAAGTACTGCTTTGTGATTTTATGTTCCACTATTTTACTGGATATACTTACCAACTCTAGGAGTGTTAGGGTACAGTCATTAGAGCTCTTTAGGTATCATCTGCAAATAGGGAGTTTGATGTCTTCCCTACCCTGTTTGCTTTAATGCTGTGGCTAGGAATTCAGCTCTGTAGTGGGTAGGAGTAGCAAAAATGGACATGTATCTTCTTTCCGATTTTAGAGGAAATGGTTTCAGTTTTCACCATTATGATGATGTTGGCTGTAGGCTTTATGGCTTGTCATAATGCAAGTCATTATGGCTTGTATTATGTTGAGGCATGTTCCTTCTCTTCCTAGCTTCTTCAGAAATTTTATCATAAAAGGATGATGGAACTTTTCAAAGACTTTCTGAATCTGTTAAGATACTCATTTGATTCTTGTCCTTGCTTTTTTATTTATTGATTTACATATATGAAAGCAGCCTTGTATCCCTGAGATGCAAGGGATCATACTGTATCATTTTTATTAGTTGTTGGATCCAGTTAGCAAGTTGTTTTATTCAGAAATTTTGCATCTATGTTCAATGAGATTTATTTCTAATTCTTTGTTGTATTCCTGTCCAGTTTTGAGATGAGTGTAAAGTTGGCTGAAGCCTAATTTTAAAAACTTTAAAGAAATTCAAAATCAACCATAATCAAGCATTCTTTGGCCTAAATAAGTCTAGATTTAGCTCAAATTACTAAGCTCAAAGGGATAAAGAATGCAAGTGGAAAAACCAACTTAATGTATGCAACCACAAAAGAAATCTCAGTTTCCAAAGACCTGAAATCTTTTGGATTTCATTTCTCTCAACAAAATGCAATGAAACTTGAATTCAGTAGCAAAAAGACAGTTGAAACAAAGAC